AAGTAAGGGATCAAGATGTCTTCGAGCATGATTTAGTGGGTATCACTGTACATAATTTCATAAGGTCCTAACTTACTCAATATAACTCCAAATTTGACAAATTATATATCATTGAAAAGCTCTAGAAGTTTAATTTTCAATGAAATAATTTTACACTTAAATTCAATGTAAATTTTGAGATATAATCAAAAGAGTGGATGAAGATTAAGACTAAATGCTATGTGGAATCAACATCTCAACACTTCAATTCTAAACTTCATATCTTTCTCAATAAAACTCCATTTTCAATAAATAAACTATCATTGAAAATCTGTTGGAGTCTATTTTTAAATGAGATATTTTTTACATTAAAATGATCTATGTAGTAAGAGATATGATAAAAAATATGACCAAAGGTCAAAAATAATTTTTTGCACAATTGCCTTTTCAAAGCATAGATTTCAAGTGTTCATGAATTTTTCAACTTAACTCCATTTTAAGTAAATAAAAAAAATTTAAATACTTTATGGAGTTATTAATCAAAACATTTCAAAAGATCATGAGATATGTATGATCAAAGATAAAAACTATGATTATAGAAAATTATGTCTCACTCTTTCTCTTAATAGCTAAAATGTATGTTTTGATTTAATATATCTTAAGCAAATGCTTCATATCTAAATCAATAAGTTTAATTTAAAGACTTCCAGCCTAATGATATTATATCTATCAAGTCTAAGGCTTCCAAGGTGCATTCAAGCTTATATGAATGTCTTTATTCTTCTGAAACTTTTTTTGGATCATCCTTCTCTTTATCTTTATATTCTTTAATCATGAGTGTAGCATGCAAATAATGACTTCAACTCTGTTTCTCTTCATGCTTACTCACATCTTCACTTTAGACAACCTTAAATGATATATCATGAATAAAATGATTAGTCAAAGTATCAATATACATATATTCAAGTTGTGAAAGATAATACTATGAACAATTTTGGATATAGAATCAATTTAAGATGAGGAAAAATATGATAGTATAAAATAACTTTGATGTACACAAATCATTTTTCTAAATCTAATATAATATGGAACAATCATAAGTAAAAATACTTTAAAGCACTTGTTACATAGACATAGTTAACTACTATATGTATGAAAATAATTAGGCATAAGTATAGTTAACTCATCTATATTTGTCATCATCAAAATTTAAGTTAAGCATAATGTCACCCCAACAATCTCCCCTTTTTTATAACGACAAATCACCTATAAAAAATATGCTTATATGGTAGAAAATAAGTGTTTAGCAAATCATATTTTTCATGATAACTTCTCTCCCTATTTTTTATTGACAAAAAGGCTTTGAAATAAGTGCAAGGGAATACATGAATGAGATAAGGTTTAGAGTTCTCCCTTGATGATAACTTCTCTCCCTAATTATCACGTGGAGAAATTTGAATTCTCCCCTGTATGACTACATCAAAGTGGCAATACTTTTTTTTTTTAACTTCTCCCCCTAACCTGGGATTGATAAGAATCCTTTTTTTTTTTTTTGCCAATACTTTAAAAAGAATCCCAAGAATCACGTTGCTTTCTGGAAAAGGATTCCCCGAAATTGATAAGATCGTGATGTGGCTTCAGTTAGCGTAGTAATCAATTGATCAGATTCTAAGACTACTCGCTGGATCAATCATTATTTTTTTTAGATACAAAAAGATCTTCTTGTATGATCACATGGCCTCCGATGCTGGTCAAAAAAGGACTCCCACCAAGGTTCAAGGAGGCCATGTGATCATACTTAAAAGCTGTATAAAAATAATTTTTCTAAACTTTAACTTTTCAATCAGGTGAAGTTAATTTTTCTAATTAACTTTCTGAACTTTTAATTTTTTAGTATAAACCCTTGTGATATTAAGATCACTGTTAATCTGTTGACAAAGTTTCCCATGTTTGACAAATTATAGTATTGGGTATCTAACATGTATTATGATTTATGAGGATATTAAGATGCCCAATTGAATCACTACAATAGAAATAGCTCAAATCACATAACATCAAAAATACCTATCGAATGGATAAATTCACATTGCAGTGTTACACTACATCAAATATTGCCGCATAAGAAGTGTCATTGGTATGCATAATAAATCTCAAAAAACGTCTTCCTTCTCAGTCGATGGGCACTACAGAATATAGATGCAATCAAGTTTTCTACGTCTAGTTCTTCATTCATAATTTTATTGGCAATATGCTAAACAAATAAGATTATCAAATTAGTAAAATTTTAGTTAGATATTCATTTAGAATTTGTAGCTTGGTCAGATGCCATAAGAAACCAATAACAGTGGATCTGCTCGCTATTGGCATTATTCAAAGCAAAAAATAAAAAGGATAATGGGAATTATTTTCAGGGAGAATTTCATATATGACCCCAATGACCATAATTTCTCTGCAGGAACAATAGATTCTGATATTTCTATGCAAGTCCAAAGACGACAAGTGCAATTATTTTTAAAGGTGAAAGGACTGAACTACTCTTAATGAGTAATAATATAAAAGAAATTAACAACAAAAGGTCTGTAAATAACAAGAAAAGTTTACTTATTTACAAGAAGAAATTCATTTATTCACAAGAGATGATAATAAAATTAATAACAGAAAGTCCGTAAATAACAAGAAAAGTATAATTATTTATGCACAAAAGTCCATGTTGGTTTACACTAATACTTAAGAAAGCTCATAAGTTAACTGAAGAAAAATAAAAATAGAAGGTTCAGAATATAATAAGAAAAGTCTAATTATTTACAAGAGTTCATATGGGTTTACACTTGTACTTGAGGAGAAGAAAATTTATAAGTTAACCGTAGAAAATTAACAATAAAATTTACATTTGAGGCTTTTTCACTCGTTAAAAGTAATTCGGTCATTTTAGCAAGGAAAATAATTGCACTTGAAGCCTTTGGGCTTGTAGAGGAATATCAGAATTTATTGGACCTATAAAGAAATTATGTTCCTTTAATTGGATGGGCTTCATGAATTGAGCTATTCCAATCTATATGGGTGACACATCTTTGAGGCCTTATGAATTCGGCTATTTCAAGTAAGCTAGTGGCTTTAGGTTAGTATCATTGGGTCCCAATATTTTTTTATAGGATGAAATCAATAAAATATCCTTAATACATTAGATATTATAAAATATTTAATGGGCATTTCAAAAGGAATTATTTTGCATAAATAATATTAACCATTATTTAATTGATGAAAACAAGAAATGAGAGGAGTTACAAAACTAACAAAGGCCACAGTAGTGAAAATGTGAGGAAAATGAGAGGGTTGAAGTTGGTGAAATTTCAAATAACTATGGTTTAAAGGGAATATGAAATTACAAAAATAAAGGTATAATAAAACAAGAACAATCAAAAGATTTTAATTATGTATTCAAATGGATGATTTGGATCCTCATACATCGAAACACACCATCAGTGTTTTTCAATGTATTGAGATTTAAAAAAAAATATTCTTTAAAAAATATAATTTTTGGTCCCTATACTTTTAGCCTGTTTTGATATTAGTCTTGATATTTTTTTCATTACTCTTAGTTCCTTAAATTTGAACCGTTTGTAATATTAGTTCCTGTTTTAATTTTAAATATGCCCATAAAGACTTCATGGTGGTCGATGTGTTCTTAAACATCATTAATTGTGTTGTTGACATGTTAAAATTATGATGAGTTGGATAAAAAATGTGTAGAAGAAAAATTGGGGACAAACAAGTCCATTCAACTGAAAGAGCAAATCGAAGAGGAAAACGAAGTTATAATTCCATTCACTATAATCAAAGAAGCTAGAGGATGAACAAAGATTTTGAAGAAGACTACTAACATTTTAGTCACTGCTCTTCTAAACTACGAAGCTTCACCCTTTAACGAAGAATTGTTGTTTAAGGATTCTGATTTAATTCCCTTTTTTTTCTACTTATTTTTATCCAACTCATCATAATTTCAACACGTTAATACAATAATTAACAATGTATATATATTCACGTCAGTAAAGTTAAGCCCACATATTTATAACTATATGGACTAATGTTGTAGATAGATTAAACATAAAGGACTAATAACAATGAAAAAAAGTATAGAAAGTAATACCAAAACATAATAAAAATATAGGGACTAACGATTGTATGTTTTCAAATCCTTAATACATGACAAATGTCATTATAATTTGTCTGACATGGTAAACTTTGTTCATAAATAAATTAAAAGTGATTTTTATGACAAAAGGTTCATAGTCAACATTTGCACATTGGAGGGGTTAGTTTTAAACTTCAAAAAATTAGGATGGTGACAGAGCTTGGGCGGCTAGCGCGGTGGCTCCTGCAACCGATGACACTGAAACTTTGGAAAAGAGATATTTTGGTAATTGACACCTACAAATTTATTACATTAAAGGACCTTAAGCCTGCAGGGCATTTTGAAAATACTTTGGATCCTAATAACCAATATGCTTCTTGGGAGGGCCCTGGGTGAAATTCTCCGTAAATGAACTTGTCGTAATGAATAACACAAACATCGGCGTGAGCTTAACAAATTTTGACATCAACAATCCACTAGTCAAATATAACTTATTCCCACTAAAGGACTAATAAGTGAATAATAAGAAAAAGGAAAAATTTATAAGAAGGAACATAAATTAATAGTTATTTTTAAAAAGCACCAACATCCTTTAAGTAAATTAAGGTTATAACCTTAATTCACTTTATTTTATTTAAATAACTTTAGTTTTTTTTTTTCCTCAAATATTTTGACAAGTCCTTTCTAATTTTCTCAAAGATATATTTAAAAAAAGAAAAAGTAGATCACCGACAGCCTTTTTACTATATATGCCAGCCAGACTACCACATGATGGTCTGACACTTAAACGAAATAATGAAAGTAAGATTTAAAAAAAAAAATCGCATTTAGCAAAAAAAAAAAAAATACTTTGCGTGTTGGAAGTTTGTAACTCCATTATTTGAAAGAAAAATTGAGAAGTCAGAAATCCACATGACGGTCTGATATTGATAAGCATTTTGATTCTCTCGTCTCACATTATATAAACCCATGGAAATCTCCATGAATCACAATTCTTATCTCCATATTCCCTCCTTATATACACATATAGCAATAATATAACCATGTCCCAAGAGCAATCTAAAGCTTCTGGTCTTCCAGTTGTTCCTCCCAAGTTCTGGGATGGAGACGATGAAGCTCTATCCCAAGAGTGTCGAGATCTCATTGCAACCCTGCCCGCTGAACCGTATTCGAAGATCCATCATCTCTACCAATTCCAAAGCTTTTGGCACAACAAAAGGGTCATCCAAGGAGTCCTCAACTTGCAGAAACACTTTCAGGCCCATGACTCCGACATCATCCTCGTCACTATGCCAAAATCTGGCACCACCTGGCTCAAACTCTCACTTACACTATACTTAATCGCAAAACCCATTATCCCAACCTGAATCCAGATCCGATCGTAACCGCACCTCACCCTCTTCTCACTACCAACTCTCATGATCTTGTGCCCTTCTTGGAGCTCCATCTCTATCTCGAGAACAACCCAGATTTGAGCTCCTTCTTGTCGCCGAGGCTTTTTGCGACCCATCTGCCGTACTTCCCATTGCCTGAGTCTATAAAGTCATCAAGATGTAAGATAGTGTACTTATGTAGAAATCCTAAGGACGTACTTGTCTCGTACTGGCACTTTACAAGTGAGTTTAGACCAGATAGTCATGTGAGCAACGTGGTTGATGCGGATTTGTTTGAGAAAGTTTTGCCAGGGAAAGAACCCTTACGGGCCATTTTGGGATCAAATATTGGGGTATTACCAGGAGAGTTTGAAGAGGCCAGAGAAGATAATGTTTTTGAGGTTTGAGGAACTAAAAAGTGAACCAGTTAGGGTTTTGAAGGAGCTAGCTGAGTTTTTAGGGTTTGGTTTTTCTAAGGAAGAAGAAAATGGTGATGCTGTGGGTGACATATTGAGGCTCTGTAGTTTTGGAAATTTGAGCAATTTGGAAGTGAATAAAAGTGGAAAAAGTTCCACCGGGATGACATGTAAGAATTATTTTAGACGTGGAGAAGTTGGGGATTCGAAGAATTTTCTCACACCAGACATGATCAAACGACTTGATGATATTACTGAAGAAAAGTTGGGGATACATGGCTTGAAGTTTTAAATCCATTAATTAGATTCTTTAGAACAAATGGTCTACAAAGAACAACAGGTTTGAGTAACAATTTCTGTTTATTTTATTATTGCATTGAATATAAATATTAAATATTAAATATTTTTAAATCAAATTAGTAATTGATTATAAGCGTAAGCAAAGTACCTTAATTTAATAGTTTATATACTTCCTTTCCTCATCACAAGTCTCTTCTGAAACAAGGCTTATGCTGAATTTTCTTAAATTCGTTGATCAAGTATATAAAGAGAACTTCAAAAAGTCTCTTTTGATAATTGAAGTATTAGCTAAATTCATTTGTTAATCTTTTCTTCACCAGGGGTTAGAAATGAAGATGAAGAAGAAGCTGCGGCAAATATAATTAAACTTGTAATCTCCCTAGAGATAGAGTGTTTCTCATGAAGTATAGTTATGAGTGTCAATCAAAATTTAAAAGATTGAGAACACATTCTTATGTATGAGGCTCGTCTTCAAACGTTGGGTGTGTCTGTGAAGCTTTTTAACCAGTAAAAAAAATAATATTTTAGTTCAATTTTCTGGTGTTACTGTTAGATACGGCAATACTCCCAAGAGAAAGGTAAATTAAGTGTTAATCGAATTTTCAACTCTTCAAAACTTTTTCTTAGTAAAATAGAGTATAAGTGTAAGTTTGAGTAAATTCATTATAAACTCTGTTTGCAATAATGCTAATCTAATTTTTGCAAGCTCCATGTGTAAAAATGATTAAAATTAATTTTTAAGTAGAAGTTTGAGTAAGAGCATGTAAATATTTTAAATTTAATGTTTAATAGAAAGATAGAGCATAAACAAGATGTGTTGGAAATATAGAGTTGAAGGAAGAAAAAATGCAAACTATAATTTATCTTGGTTCAACTCTATTTACTTGAGCCTACGTTAAATTCGCAAGCAACCATTTAAGATTTCTCCACTATAATTCACAAGTCTATACTAGGCACTTGTTAGTTGTTACAAACAACCCTATAAAAGATATTACTTGCCATTTGGGATTTTTCTGAATTTTTCCTACTATTTATTTTCAAACCTAATATTCCATCTGATGTGAAATAGGAGGTACTTTTTATTTGATTTTATTAAATTATTTCTAATTATCATATCAAAATTAAAACAATTAGTCAAATTATTTATCTTCTCTAATAAAAAAAAAAGAGAAATGATGGAAGCTGAGATCTAACATCAAAACCTGAAATTCTTCTATCCTAATTCCTACTCCCCCAAAGCAAACAGCTTTCGAGAATGGAGAGAAATAAGTGATCCACATTCTCATTTGCTGAACAACCAAACGGGCAAAGATTATTATTAAGAAGATGATGTTCAGTTAAGGTATTTGGGAGGATAATCTAATTTCCAAAAAAAAAAAATCCAAAACTCATGACTAATAGTCTTGTTGGATAGGTATCTAGTCAATTGGGTAGAGTAACCATACGGATTATTGACCTAGAGAATTCCCTTTCCAAATAATTTTGTCCTCAATTCCAGAGTGACTCAAAGGGGTATTGAGAATGATACTTCTTACCTGCGGATCATAAAGGTCACGAATAAGAGGTTCATTCCAAGTAATCTGTCTCCAAGGGTCATTGGAAGTAACTGTATGATTAGCCACATGAGTTAACTCTGCACTGGGATGATTGCCTCAGTTTCTCTTCCACCAAAGGGGATGAACAATTAGGATTCGCCTTCCATTACCAACTCTTCATTCTAAACTAGGCTGAATCAGATTAGCACTCTTCTTCCAAAACAATGATGCATTATTAGGGGTTTTACAGATTTGGGCTTTATCTATGTCAAAGTACTTCTTCTTGAGGGTCTCCCTTAGTGCCGAACCATCTTGAAAACTGAGAATGCCCAGAATAGTTTAGCAAGAAGTGAAAGGTTGACCTGAAGAATTGGACCAATAACCAGCCCACCATTCTTCTTTGGAGTTTAAAAAAAGTGCATCTCTGTTTCCATCATTAATTCCGTAGAAGAAGTCAATGCAGGGGGAATCTATTACCTTGCAGTATTTGTGAGGCAATTTTGAAGCAAGATAGTTGATAAATATTTAGCAGCTGAAAGAACGGACTTAACAAGTGCTAGCTAGTTGCGAAGCCTGGGACAATGTTTTCCCTTTCCAAGAGCTGATTCTCCTCTGAACAAAATCAATAACACTCTGACATATATGAGTTTTATTCTTTCCAGGATCAATCCGTGACCCTAAATATTTGCCAATTATTTCAGAAATATTTACCCCCAGATAGTTAGCAATCTCAGATTTGGTTCTGACAGAGACATTAGGACTAAAAACTATATTGATTTTCCTGTAGTTGATAGCTCGCCTAGACCATCTTGAAAAGGTATCTAAGACCCTTTTGACCATAGCACCCCATCTCGAGTGGATTCAAAAACCAGAAGCGAATCATCTGCGTATAATAAATGCGAGATGGGCTGTGCAGCTTGACAAATTTTGACCCCCTCTCAAAAACCATTCATCACACTTGCTGTTGAATGAGACTTGATGAGACATTAGAAGCTACTCCTCTGATTGTTTTTATAAGTTATCTTTATCAACTTTATTAATATTAATATAAAAAAATTAATAAAATTAAATAAAATTTTAAATATATCTTTATATAACAAATCTAAAAAATAATGTCACGTTATTTTTTTTTTTTCATAAAGTGTAATTTTAAAAATATATTTTAAATATTAGTTAAAAAGTCATACCATAATTTATAAATAAAATTAAATAAATTTTATAAAACGTGCCCTGTAAATGGAACTGGAGGAGTAAAATATAAATATAAGGCGAAGGAGGATCATCATGCTGGATGCCACAAGAGGGAGCAAAGTGCTGGAATCGTTGGCCATTAAGCATAATTTGAAAAGAGACTGAAGATATACTATTACACGTGTACACCACTTTCCTTAAAGAAAATCTGTATGAAAAATATCTGATATTTTTGGCAAAACAGTGGAGTATTTGTAACGAATATAAATATAATATTAAAAAATCGTGTGGAAAGATACTCTTTTCATTTTAAAATATAATTTGTTTTTACAAAGGTTTTTGTTTCATTTTTTTTAAAAAAAATCAGAAGTCCTTGCAATTTTCTTCAGTTTTTATTTTCAAGCACAAATTTCTTTCTATTAGAAATAATCTTGATTAAGGCATGGTCAAATTCTAAATCTAGCACTTTTTCTAGCAAGAACTCAAAATCTGATTGGCCACATTATGAAAAACTAATAAAAAATTAAAAGATTCTTTCGATTAATTTTTTCTTCATTTAATAAATCATTATAGAAGTTTAACAATAATTTTGGATAAGTTTGCTAATATGGTTTAGAGTAAAATACAGTGATGTTCCTTCTATTTTATTAAGATTATGGAAAGCTCATATCAATTTTCAAAATTTACACTTTACTGCAGCTTTTAACAACATTAGGAATACTCCGTTAAAAATTCTAAAATGTTTAATTTTTTATTTATGATTATGTTAAAATTTTTAAAATTATCAATTTGTCCTTTTAATATAATTATCTACTCTCTCCCCACAACGTAAAGAACTTTAAATAATTAAGTATGGAAATGTTTAAATATACAATTTATATTTAAATAAATTAATAATTTGAAAATATCGTGTTAAATTAAACATAAATGATTTTTTTAAAAAAAAATTGATAACTGCACAGAAGTGGAAGTTTCCTTTGTTTAAATGAACGAAGTTACAGCCTTTCATATCCAAATTCCAAATTAACACACCGGAAACCTCCTTGTCAATCATTGTCTTTTTTCTGGTCTCTTCAATGGCTTTACTGCTACCTTTGGTCATTGCTTCAATCTTCGTCATCTCTTCATCTTATGCTTCTTCTGTTTTTGATCATACATCACCAAAAAAAAAAAAAAAAAACTTTCAGTGATGACTTTCAACAGTGACTTTAAAAAGTCACTGTAGAAATTAAACAATCTATGACGATAATAAAAGTCACCGCTGAAAGGGTAGCTTTCTGCGACGATAATATAGTCGCCATTAATTGTTAGATTTTCAGCAGCGACTTATCACTATGAAAATTTAAGTTTCAGTGGCGACATATAAGTTGCCGTTTGAAAGTTTGATTTTGTATCTTTATCATTATTTTTTATTTTTGTTTAATCTAATATTTAACTTTTTAAGACATTAATTTTGCTGTATTGTTGCATTTTTATAATAAATATATAAAATAACATAATGAATTTTCATTTAATATATTTTATAGTTAAATTGTAACTTTAAAATAATGTAAGGTTAAGGTATTATTTAATGCTAATGAGCCTAAGTAAAGAATTAAGCCAAACTATATTATTTTACGTTATTTTTTGTTATCAAGTAGTGTTTGGTTTGATTCAATCCAACCATTTAGGCCAGTTTGATTAATTAGTTTTAGTCAATCACCAAATCTAATTGAATTGACTCCCCTATTTGAAGTGATAAATTCATTCAAAAATCTAATGTTTACTTTTTTTTAATTTGGAATGCATATAATGTGGTAATGTGTCTCTATTTTGAAATGTTTTATGATTAAATTGATATTTTAAACAATAACACTACTTATTTATAATAATTAGACATATAATATAGTTAAATTTATTCATTCATAAAATAATATTTCATCTAATCTAATTTTTAAATTGATATTTTAAATAATAATACTAGTAACTTTAGAGCTTGATTCCAGTTTAAGTGTTCCCAATTAAATAGCTAATGATAGGAAAGAGAAAGATGAAAAGAAAAAAATTAATCTTATTCTAAAATTTCACTTTTAACTTTTATAATATACTAAATATATCTATGCATGTGATGCTATATGATTTTTTTTGTTTGATGCTATCGTGCGACATAAATATAAAAAACAATTAGATAATATAGTGTATAATCTTCTTATAAAATTATAATTTAATGAAAACTAACTAAGAAAGTAAAGTGTAATGTAAAAAGAAGCCAATTACATGACTTCAAAGTTATTGTTAATTAAAAGTAAAAATAAAATTTTAAATAAAACTATCTAGAAAAATAAATAATTATGAACTAATGTATCATCATCTATATTTTTACTATTTATTCTTAGACATTTTTATATTATAATTATAAATGTGAATATTAAAATAAATAATATAATAACCTCAAGAAGTAAAAAACATTAAAATAAATAATACAGATGATACTGTATCAAGTATATTTATAGTTTGCTTTGGACAAAATAAATAATATAATTTACAATTTTAATAAATTAAAATAATTAAATTTAAGTATTTAATGATAGTAATGATATTTTATAATATTTAATATTTATTATATATGTGTGTTTGCATAGTTTAATAATAATAATAATAATAATATATATTTACTTATGCAATAATAGACTGCAGGTTCATTTCAGTTCAATGGCAAAATAGTGTCTACAAAAGAAAGAGGTCATGAGTTCAAACTTTAGAAGAGGTAACTTGTGAAATGAAAATATAAATTGGCGACATGATGACGCATGACGTGAGGAGGGGGTGACACATAAAGGGTGACATGGCACCATGTGGCATGAGGTGGTAGCGACACATAGGGGTGATGCAATGACATGTGGGGGGCACTGTAGCACCATAGGTAGGTGAAACCAACATTACTTTTCAGTGACCACAAAAAATTCACCCCTGATTGGTATTTTCTGCAACAACAAATGTCACCGCTGATACTTAACATTTAGTGACGACTAAATAGTCACCGCTGATATATGGTTTCTACTACAACATTTGTCATTGTTGATTTTTAACTTTTAACAACAACTATTTTTCTACGGTAATAAATTCTCAACTTTCAGCAACAACTTTTATTATCACCGCAGATGAAATTAGTGGCAAGAGCTCTCGCAATGATATTGTGGCAATTTTTAATTGTCACTGAAAACTTTTAAAGGCCACTTTTTAATTATATCATTGCTAAAAGTTAATTTTTTTATAGTGAAAAGAATCTCAATAAGGTTCTTCTTTTTTACCATTGTTTCTCAATGTGAGTGTCAGTGTGTGTGATAATTGTACATTAGATACGAGACGCACAAAAGTAGCGAAACAAGGTTTCATTAAGTATTTGGTAGTTAGTTGTAATGAACTTAAATTTTAATTTAAACAAAATTGTTTTTTCGAGAGATATTTTATTTAAATAAATTTCTTAGCAAGTTTGATTATTTTATTTTAAATTATAGAAAAATTTTGGACTTTTTTGTAATTTTCGTTGGGTTGTTCTTGTAATTTCTTTGTGTTTTTCTTGCAATTTTCCCAACTTCCTTGATCTGATAATATATCTTCCCGCGAAGTAAAGAAAAACAGAGCATTGGCATTTGCTTCGCCGACTTCGAGTTTTCTCTTCTCATCACCGCCAAACTCCTTCTCTTCACCTTCGGCTTGCTCTTCCTCTCACCATTGGCCTGCATCTAGTTGTGCTCGTACGTCTCGGCAGCGGGAAGTGGGAGGCACCAGAATTTGTTCCTTCTTTGTTGTCATCTCTCGCTAGCCGTCCAGGTAGAGTGTCCGTGTGCGTATGTGTGTGTTTAGCTTCAATCCTTCTTTCTTTCCATCTGCTAAACATTTTGCATAGGTGTATGATAAGCTAAATTCCTCTCTTTTTCTGGTCGTGATTTCTGGTTCTCCTCTTCCTTATTAGAGTTGCAGAACAGAGCTTGCTTCCTTCATCAACCTCGACCAAGTGCTGATCTTAAACTATCATCGTTGTACTGTAGTTTGAGGTAAATCGTTGATCCTTTCTTCTCCCTCTTCAATGACAGCAGCAACATTGAATTATTCCTTCTTTTCTCTAGTTGTCGGGTATAGCCTCTGTTCTTCACTGTTGTTGTAATATTTTTAGTTAGGTATAAGAAGAAATTTCGGTTGATGCTGGAAAATGGTTTTATTGTGATCTTGAGCTGATATATAATTGTAGAATTTAATGTTGGGAGTTGTGGAACTTATTTGGTTGTGTTCACTTCATAACTTAATTAATGGAGAATGCCCTCTAGTGTGTTTGTAGATATGTGTGCAAGAAGATATTGATAAAAGAAATTTGTTGAATTGTCTGGGTGTTTATTTCATAAATTTGTCAATGATAAATATATATCCTCAAGGTACTTGTAAATAAGTGTGAGGTAGAATTTGGTGAATTGTAGGTTGATAAAGCTTCCATGCTATATATAGCCTAGGGAAGTATCTATAATTTTGATTCAGGTTATTAATTAAAAATTATAAAATATCAAAGTGAGGAAAAGAATTACATAGGATACTTGTTTCACATTTTTAGTCCAGAGTAAACTTAAAAATGATTAATATGGTTTATTATGATTTGTGAATGAGTATGAGCCATGAGAAAACATGGGGATAAATTGAAAGCTGTCAAAAGATTTAAGTAACTCAAGTGTAATTGAAACATAATTTATTAAAGTATTATCTTTAATATTATTTGGATTGAATTCACGTACCCAATTAGTGATTGGAAAATTCCTTAACAAATGATTTTGAATTACGATTTATTTGTCAAAAAATTAGGAACATCATTAAAATTAAAGTGAAAGATTAAGAGAAGCACACTTTATAATTATGAGAAACTATCAAGTGAGTGGGTAACGCTCGAATAAATTTCTAATAAAGCAGTCATAAAATCCTTTATTTAAATTTTACTATTATTTCTTTATAAATTGTACAAATATCATTGTTAATCCTATAATTTTTATATAATTGTCTTATTAATGAAAATGTCTTGATTTTACTAATAATTTATTTGTTAAGCAATGGGTGAAACATACATATGATAAATGATATAAATTTTTTTTAAGTGGTTTAGTTATTGAATTTTATGTTGATATAAAATTTTTAATGCAATGATTCATGTATAGAGGCAATAATGATAAATTGGGACAATAGAAAATAATGGTTGAATGGTATTTAAAAGAGAAAATTTTGATGTTTTTTTTTACTCCATACATGCTTGATTTTATGGAGAAGGACTGAATTTAAAATGCTGGATCCTAATAGCAATCCCATTAGTCGTTAACGCACTATGGTACACCTAACTAGCAGAATGTATTTGAGGTGCTAGCCCCGTGCGATGGCCAACACACGTGACATAGAAGGATGATTATTTGTGAGCATTGTACTCACACTTGTTTTTATAGACCTCATGCCTGTGCTTTTTTTGTGACTTCTGCCGTGTTTTTTTCGTAGCTTTCAACCATGTTTGATTAGTTGTTTACCCTCATGGACAGTGTGTCCATACTTGTTATTCATTCTGATAAAACCCTCTTAGATTTAAATTAAAATTTATTATTTTTATATTAGTTCTCTGGAAACATTCTATCTAATTGAACCATTACCTGAAATTGTTATATTCTATGAGTCGTGAGAATCTTGATAAATCCATTTTGTTTTAATGGTATTGTTCAATTTTATGATTGTATTATTGAAAACTGATTGTTCTTTATTGTTAGTTCAAGTATATGTTTCAACATTTTATGATATTGTTTTAGACCAAATTTATTAGTTCTATCTTCAAAATTTTTATTTACAATTTTGATCGAAATGGTATTTACTATAAATTTCTTTAGTTTCAAATATTATAACAGACCCTGCACCTCCAGCAAATCATTGAGGGGCCTTTTGCTTTGTGAAAAAAAAACATGAAGGCTATTGTGATTACTTTTGGTAAAACTTTGTACTGTATTTTGTAAATTGTAAGTTAATGCTCCACGTACACCATAGTTAGGTCCTAGTCTTATTTTGTTATTATGTAAATTGTTGGAATGGAGTTAGTCTCTCTATTGGTTTAATTGATACTTTTTGTTATTATGAAAATTTTAGGAGATCTAAATTAAAGGGGAAATTCTGCCAAAATTTCTACAAAAATATTTAAAACTTTATGAACTTTATTATTTATTTAACTAACATATATTGATATTTGAGCTTAATTCTTAGTTAACCAAAGCTTACTTATGGAATATGAGTTCACTTCATATTTCATACCGATCATATTTTTAATATCAGGGTGTGACAATAATGAATTTGTTGTTTTGAAGTTTTAGGTTCTTGAAAAATGCTCAACCAGAAGACACTAGAGAGGAGCAGTTATGCAGTTCTTGTCCTATAAAGTTTGAGGGATCAAGATGTGTGAGATCAACAACTTCAAATTCATTTAAGCTTTTGTGTGTATATATATATATATATATCTCCATCTCTATTACTTTCTCTTCTCTATTCCACAGATTCTCTTCTTTTGTAGTTTGGGCTGTGTGTGCGCGTGGCAAAGAGTGAGAGAAAGATCATCAGAAATCACAATATTAATTGGATTATTACCTCCTTTAATTTGTCCATCTTTTTGGGGACTACATGGATAATATCATGAGATGTGAGGTTGTACATGGGTAAAAGCCCTATTATTGACAACTATCAACGTCTTGATCATCAACTTGAGGTGACTTCATTTTTCTTGCTTCACTTTATTTTTTCAAAATTTTATATACCCTTTTGCAATGTAATACTCAGAAAGTACAATATAAATAAAAAAAATTAAAATTTATGATAAGGGATGCTAAATATGTTTTATATGCTTTGGGGGCACATTTGTGAAAGAAAACTGATGGTCCAGTGGCAAGTATATGTGACATTGAATTCAAGGTTTGGTTCGAATCCTCCAGAAGCAAAAGTGAGATTATTTTTACTTTTCAACATTGGTAAATTACCATTATGTCCCTGGCGCCATCCGATTTTTTTCCCCTCACCGACACAAATCCACATTTTCACAGGAGGTGAGAGAGCAAGAGAGAGATTTGAGAAGCTCCATTCTCCATTCTTCATGTTATCCGTCCACCGTGTCCGACGGCCGACAATCATCACCTGCCAACATTTCTTTTCCTCTCCTCTATCAACTTTCCATCGATGCACCAGAGGCCCAGTGTGAGAGAGCCTAACGTCTGATCCGATGTTCCTTCCCTCCTCCGTTCAAGCAGCTATGAGAGTACATCGGGACCTCCTCCTCCTTTCTGTAGCATTGATGTAGTTCACTAACTATCCATCAAACACCCAGCTCCTCTCTCCTCTGTTCTCGCCACCCTCTGTTCTTGCCACAGCGTAGGAGTGCGACAGACCTTCTTCTCTATTCACAGCTCTTCTTTCTCCTCTGTTAGCATCGTGCTGGGTGTTTCAAGGTCTCGCTATGGGAGTTGATTGCTGCTGCAGAAACGTATCATTTGCTGATCATTCTTCTTCCCCTGTGTTATCGTCAATCTGCTCTTCTCCTTGGTGCTGTGTCGCTGTCGTTTAGTATGGCTGTGGGAAGCTCAACTCTTCTCATTTCCTTTGTTGCTGTGTTATATTGGTGAGTTCGATCTCACCTCTCTTTTTTTCCTCATTAATTCTGTATGTGAATGAATGATTGGTGGTTAAAATTATGAGTTTCTTTCCTTGTTCAATTGTTGTGCGTGAATATGTAGAGATGGGATCCAAGCTAGATGAGAGTTTTGTTTTAAGAGCATTTTTCGCATGATTACTTTGGCTACTGGAGGAGGAAGAAAATGGATTTAGGCTGGATTCTCTTTGGGCTTAAATTGATTTTTGATGGGAAATTGAATTGGAAAGCATAACTTATTTGGCTTTCTTTAAGTTCAAAATTTATTTGTGTTGAAAGAATAGGATTGAACAGTAAGAAGTTTGATGCTAAAATTTAATTATTGATGCGCACAAAGTGTTTATTTAAATGTGTAGAAGAGTTGAAATGGAGAAATTAATTTATATATTTGCATCAAGGATTAGAATTTGAATTTAGTTTGTTGGGTCTCTATGTTGAAACTTAAAATGATATAGATATTCTTTATGTATATATGTGTATTATGTGATGAAAATTAGGGGGGAATTTGAAGAGAAAGGAGCTTGGCATTGTAACATAATAAGTTATTTGGTAAAGTGCTTGAAAGGAGAAAATTTTGTTATTTTATTGGTACTAATTACATTATATGATAGATAATTATTCTTCACAATGAAAATTGGAATTGGAATTAAATGTTTATGGAAAGTATGATGAATTTGATTATGAATGTTTTGAAGTTTGTTGGACAAGAGATTGAAGATTAAAAAGCTTATTTGAATAGTTTGGAAAATGATACACCTAAGGTGTTTGATATAAGGTATAAGAGAAAGCCATATCCCAATGGATTAAGTAACTATAGCTAAAAATTTTATAGAAAAGTTTTTGAATATAAATGGAGGTGCATTAGGGAATTTAACTAACTTACAGATAGTCTACTAAAATTTTATTAAAAATTTTTTAGGATGTGTGGAGGAAGAGGAACTTGATTAGTGTGTAGAAGTGAGCTTTAGCACATGGGGGTATTGCAGGTAAGTGAATAGTGTCCCAACTGATGTTCCAAACAAATTTTATCTTTACTAAAATATTACATTTTAATGTAAATCATTTTAATAGTAGTAATGAAATTATTGGTTATTTTGATTTTTTTAAAAAAATTACTTTATTTTGTGAAACTCACTTTGTTGGCTTTGATAATTTGAGTTAATCAATAAATGCAAGATTGGACTTTAATTGTGAAATTTCATTCTAAAATTATTAGATTGATACAGAAAATGATTCATGTGAGTTCAACGTTGAAATAAAAAATTTTACTTTAAAAGTGATGATTTTTTCACATGTTTGAAAGTGAATTTTAAGGGGACTTTATACAAAACACTAGTTGCTAAAGGTAGTTCCGTTAGCCCTTAACGCACCATGGTTAATGACTATCTAATTTGATTTTCGTGAGCTTTGTTCTCACGTTTGTTATTCATGGGTATTGTACCACGTTTGTTTTGTGGCTTCAGCCGCATTTGGTTATTATTACCTTCGTGGACTATGCATTCACGTTTGTTTTGTGGCTCTAGCCGTGTTTGGTTATTTACCCTCATAGACTGTGTGTCCACGTTTGTCTTCATGGCATAAGTTGCGTTTGGTTATTTACTTTTGTGGACTGTGTGTCCACGTTTGTTTTTTATTCTGATAAGTCTCTATAATTATGAATTCAATTATTTGGTGATATTATATTCCATTGGTTTTTATTTAGTATTTTGTTTATAAACATTTATTTCATTTATGTGCTTTTTGAAATCAAGTGATATTATCATTTGCTATGATAGTTTAATGATCTATGATTTTATTTGAAATTTTATAGAGCCATTTCATTATGAAGTTTATTAAATTTTTACAGAAATTATTGTTTCTTTAACTTACATAACTATTTCAAACTTTTCATTTCATTCATACTCTATTATTTGTTGTTGGGATGTTATTCACTGAAAAATTATTGTTGGTCTCAGATACCTTAGTTGACGCTGATTCTCCTGCCAACCCTTGAGAACTTTTAACTGTGCTGGGCGATGAATTGATTGAAATTCCTCTCTTGGATGTAATTATAAATTGCCATGTACTTATTTTTGAAGAGTCTGGTTAGATGCTTCACATAGATTATAGTTAAGGTTTTATTTTGATATATATATATGCTGTCAGGTGATTAGAAAGAGTTAAGCTCCTGGTTGATATGATATTTTGTGAATATTCTTGTATTGTAAAATTTTTGGGAGATCCTAATTATAGGGAAGGTTTGCCTAAAATTTCTATAAAAATGTCGAAACTTTTATTATAATGATCAATATCAAGATTGTTAAAATTTTAATATAAATGTAAATACATTTTAAAAATGGATTGAACGTTCAAATTAAGGCTTACGAGGGTATGTGATGTGGTTCACACCCGTGCTAGTTACCTTCAATTTTTGGGGTGTGACATGCAATGCATAGAGCAGGTCAACATATGATTTGGAAGATAATAATTAAGTTATAAAAACTTTTAGGAGATTTTATATTGAAGTAATTTTTTAAGATATTGATTTTATTATTATTCTTCAAAATGATTGGTGGTACTAATGTTTGTATAATTAAGAGGTTTGAATTGTAATTTATTCTATTGTAAATTCCTGAATGAACAGCTTAATAATGAAAATTTTGTAATCATTTAGTAGCTGATGATGTATTTTCTTTGGTTGAGATAATATATACTGTACTAATTAACAAGGTTGATTTGGGCAGAATGATTCTCTTCCATTCAACAGATATGGATATTTAACAACACATAACTCATTTGCAATTCAAAGAGAAGAGGAAGGGCCAAAATCAAATCATACCGTAAACATTACAGAGCTTTCAAGAGTGACCTTCTCAAATCAAGAACATAGTATAACACAGCAGTTATATTTAAGCAAAACAATATTAAGATCATCACTCTATTTACTTGCTTTATCATCACTCCCTCTAATAGGTTTTACAAGATTGTTTTTCAGTTGTTTTCTTTTTTTCAAATATGTGTGTGTGTGTGTGAAAAACAATGATACATTAATTGATGAATCTTTCCCCAAAATACCCTTCTTAATTTAACGTGAGTTAGGGTTTAGTATTGAAATGATGGAAGGCACTTTTGAAAAGTTGTACTACAACTCCTTTTTAAAATAACTAAGGTTTCTAATTATTTTTCAACTTTAGTTAAGAACACCTTATTGAACATAAACGGAGGGAGTATGTTTTTTTTTTTTGTAATGATGTATTTATTTCACATCGGTTTAACTAATTTCGAAGAATGGAATTCGATCTCTTATGTTGGAGGACAACAAAGGAGACGTATGGTTGTGCCATTCCATCTTGGGAAAATGTAATCTCTTTACTGCATTTGTAAGTGCCCTGTTACTTACTACCAACTTAATATATATTACTACATCATATTTCTTTTTTAATATAATATATAATTTTCTAGTTTCAAGTATAACTTTAGGTTAAATAGTTAGACTAGAGTCAAAACTTTGTCTTAAGATGAGGGATTGATTTGCAGATGACAAGACCTAATGTAACTCTGTGAGAAATACTCTTAGACTTTCTCTCTAGAATAACTAAGTTGTTTGCACATACAAGTCAATAATGGATAATGTTACTGATCTTATCATTTTCTCTTAAAAAAAATTGGATTGAGTGGGCAGAGTCATAAATTGAGAACTTGACAAACCCAATCCTCTTTAGATAATATTTTTCAAAGTTAAATGGCAAATTGATCCTGAAATTATATATAAATCTAGGAGTCTATGACCCTAAACTTATTTTTATACATTGTTCATCTTTAATTTTTGAAAATAGTATGACGTTACCACTAATAAAAGTCAATTTTTCCCGTTACTTAACTAGAAAAAAAAAAGAACAAAAAATTATAAAAATAATAAAAAATTATAGAAAAGGATCCAAAAGTTACAAATAAGAACTCAAAAATTACAGAAAATGACCAAGAAAATTTCATTCATAATTTTCTATAATTTTTTAGGTCTTTTCTATAATTTTTTATCAACTAACTGTTGGATAGGGAGGCGTAGCAGAAGATTAAAATTTTAAAATCCCTATCCAAATATGGTTTGAACAAACTCGTTTAAGTCAAGGTGGATAGAAGAGTTACCTTTTAATTCTTCAAACTTAACGTGTGTTCTCTTCAAAAGTTTAGATCTCAGGAGCTGACAATATTGGTATCCACACAAACAGCTCTCTAACTTGAATAGCGTGCTAGCGCTCCCAGTGTCTGTTCTTCTTTGAATGTTAGTTTTTCTTTCTTTAGAGTGTTTTGTAGCTCTCACGGTGTTTGGCCGTCAGAACTTTTCTAACTCTCTATCTCTTCATAACACACGTCTTTATCTATATATAGTATATGGATTAGGGTTTTTGTCTTCCACTTAAAGAGCCCACAAAAATTTCATTAAATTTATCTCATAAATTTAATTCATGATATCATATCTAATTCAAATTTATCTTATAAATTTAAATTATAAAACTGACATGATATTCTCTCATATCATGTTAATTATTAAATTCAATCTATTATATAAAATTAAATTTAAAACTAACATAATATAATATAATATAATATATATAACATGTACATATTATATTATATATATACGAATATATATACATATATATATATATATATTTCAATATATATATATTATATTTAATTTTATATATCACACACACACACATATGAATATATATATTTCAATATATATATATAATAATTATATTTCAAATTTTATATTTCATATAAATATATATATAAATATTTATCAATTAAATATTTAAATATATATATATATATATAATTTATTCACCCTATACTTGGACATTATAGCTCGAGTTGAGCTATTCTTATATGCGACCCTATAGGCCATATGAAGTTAGTAGTAGGCTAATTACACTATTAGCCCACAAGTCACAAGTAACCTCTAGTAAGACACTACAACTATCCAATTCACATGGGGCTTGATGATCCGATGTAACTTATCATGTAACCATATCACATCCCTTTTGTCATGCAATATTTTGGTCAAGTGTGAGATATGGAATTGTCATTCTCCTTTAACTGACCATTGCTTTCTCAATTTCTAAGTGAATTGGCTATAGCAATGGAAAAACCCTTTTCATTGTAATATGGCCATACATTTTCTCAATCTTACTCATTAAGGGGCCCAGTAATATCTCTCACTTAATGTGAGCGACAAATTTCATTTTGACCACTCATATTCCTCTGCATGAATATCACTAAACTCAATTATAGCCTTTAGATTGCCTGATCGAAGGTGACTTTTGACTAGGTCAAAATTCGGTGGTCATCAATAGGAATCCATGATGATCTCATGTCAAAGAGCTTAGTGATATAGTTATATATAAAATAAGCTTATAACTTGTACCATGCAACTTTCTCATAGCAAGTCAATTCAGTACCTTATACTCTTTCAAGTGCCTATGACTTTGATTTGTATCTCTATAATTAATCAAAGTCATACTAGTCTTGTTTCATCTATGATCCCTTATAGATGACCGACCAGAGACATTTAAGACAATTACTATATATAGTTTATCCAACGATACAGTTATCATAGTGAACATGTAATTGATATGATAACAAAAGAGAAATTCATTAAATAATAATGTGTATAGTACAATGATTGGTCCTAAGGCATAATTTCCAACACTAACGTCAAAGTTAGCATTTGTTATCGATAGGGACCATATTTCAACGTTTTGAAATGTTAACAGGAAATACTGCACCAAAAATAAATTTGGAGTCCCAAGTGCTCCTCAACTTAGAGTTTAGGGGCTAATTTTCCATTTACCTCCATTTTATGTAATCATGTAAAAAATTAATTTTATAATAGGATATAAAAATATTTTCACAAGAATTAATATTGATTTTTTTTTAATTTTGTTGATATATCTATCAACGGGCACATTATTAATTAATGAATATTTCTGTTTAATTTTTTTTTAAATTTGTGTGTGATGTTGCTGACAGGAACCTGTAATAAATGCTTTGAAGGAAGTAGAAGTGTTTCTTGCAGGGAATCCATCAGAAATTGTGACAATAATGGAAGATCATGTCGAATTACCAAATGGGTTAACCAAAGTAATCAAGGCTTCAGGTTTGATGAAGTACTGGTTTCCTTTTACAAGCATGCCTCAAGATGGCCAAAATTGGCCTTTAGTCAAGGACATGCTTGCTAAAAGCCATAGGCTCATTGTCTTCACCTCTCAGAAACACAAGCAAGAAAGTGCAGGCATAGCTTACCAATGGAACTTCATGGTTGAAAATCAGTGTGAGTGGCATCAAACCAAAACTCTCCCCAAATCAAATCTCTGACATCTCATGTCATTAATGATCAATTATGTTATTTCACCAATAGGCTCAAAATGTCGTTGCTTATATATCTTAAAGTTTATTTTTTAAATGCAAATAACATCTTTAGACTTTGAATTATCTGCAAATAATGGCACTCATATAGCTGTTTAATCATGCTTATATAAATTTTTTGTTATATTATGGGGGGAGTAAAATGCATAAATTTAAAAGTTTAAGAAGTTCGTTACAAAGTTTACGAAGGTTAAGGATGCCATTTACATTTAACCCCAAAGTTAAAAAAAAATATTATGTATAATTTAACTAGAATAATAATTTAATTTTATTGTTTGGAAGTTAATATTGTTGTATAACTCCTTATAAAAAAGACTAACACACATTCTCTATTAAGTTTTAACCAATAAAACAAAGAAAACGACAATAAACAATTCAAATCTAATAACAAGAAATCATAGAATTCAGTTTTTATATAAACTCGAAAGTTTTGTTATGTGAAGATAATGCATTTTAAGAATATTATTGCAGATTGACGCTGAGGGAAGGTTAAAGGGAAATATCCAAAACGGGAAGATATACATGATTAAGAAAAACTCATGAAAATGCTTGAAAAATAAATTTACAATATATATTTCTTATCTAGCATAATATTGATAACTTGTTAATATGGAAGGAACGAGTTGTGAAAAATAGAATAAATTTAGTTTCAAAAAATTGATTACTTTTTTACTGCATGAACATGTAATTTTTTAGATATACACAACAAGATGTCCATGATTAACAAGATCCTTTGAAAATGGTTGGAAAATAAATTTATAACACTTTTTTTTTCTTTCTTATATGATAACTTGTTAATATTGAAGGAACAAGCTGTGAAAAATAGAATTAATTGGGTTTTAAGAAATTAGCAACTTTTTTATGCATAAACAAGTGATGTTAGAAAATGTACAAGTGATTGTTTAGATTTACACATCAAGATATCCATGATTAACAAAAGCCTGTGAAAATGCATGAAAAATAAATTTATAACATATATTTTTTATCCAGCATAATATTGATAACTCATTAATATTGAAGTATCAAGTTGTGAAAAATAGAATTAATTGGATTTCAAAAAATTGGCAACTTTTTTTATTCATGAACAAGTGATGTTCAAATAAACACAAGTGATTCTCCATATATATATAGCAACTGTCCATGATTAACAAAAGCCTTTGGAATATAAATTTATAACATATTTTTTATCTAACATAATATTGATAACTTGTTAATCTTGAAGGAACAAGTTTTGAAAAATACAATTAATTGACTTTCAAAAAATTAACAACCTTTTTTATGCATGAACCAATGATTTTTGAATAAGTACAAGTGATTGTTTAGATACATAAAATAAAATGTCCATGATTAACAAAAGCATGTGAAAATACTTGAAAAATAAATTTATAACATATATTTTTTTTTATCTAGCATTATATTGATAACTTGCTAATATTAATGGAAGAAGTTGTGAAAAATAAAATAAATTGAGTTTCAAACAATTGATGACTTTTTTTAATGAATAAACAAGTGATGTTCGATATGTACAAGTGATTGTTCAAATATACACACAAGATGTCCATGATTAACAAAAGCTCGTGAAAATGCTTGCAAAATAAATTTATAACATATATTTTTTTATCTAGCATAATATTGAAGGAATAAGTTGTTAAAAATAGAATAAATTGGATTTCAAAAAATTGCTAGCTTTTTTTACGTTTGAATAAGTGATGTTTGAATATGTATAAGTGATTATTCAGATATACACAATAAGATGTCCAGGATATGCAATCACAAGAAAAAATACTTGGAAATGAAAGTTATAATATATATATATATATATATATAAATTTTGCACTACATATGTTAAAGTGCTTGTTGACTCAATTGTTCCCATCATTTTGTGGAATCAAGGGGTTCAAATCCACCCTTGGCCCCATGGCACATTTAACTGGTCATTGACCACCGCGTTGGTGTCGGAGCTCTAGCAGCCGATGGTGATGATTTGGCACCTACAGTGGCAATAGACGCCAATGCTTTAGCAGCCGGGACGGTGCCTCAAGTGGCCGGTGACGGGAACGAGCTCAGATCGAGGATGTTTTAATAGATGTAGAGATTGATCTCTAAAAAGGGTACAAGATAATCAAGATTTGAATTAGTTGGATAATAGATCTTGCGATTAAGTATCGCATAGGCTAGGGATTTGAGCCAAGTGGCTCCAGATTTTGGAAAGGTGACAAGAAGAATGTCAGAGTCATGAGCTTTGAAGTGTTTTTGGCTATTGAAGATTCCTTGCAAGTTTTTTGTGCCGTACCAAAAACCATCATTTTGATGGATGGTATATATATGAAGGTTCGCAAAACGCTTCGCTAGGTAAGGTGGCAATGAGGTGCTTGTTTTATTGGGTTAATTCGACTTTCTGGAGATACTTGGGAACATTGGAGGGTTCAGAGTTTTCCGCCGCAATGGTTATAGTGTGAGTGTGGTTGGGAAAGTATAGTGTGAGATCACTTAAAAGCAATGATGAAGAGAAGGTTTAAATGCCACTGGCAGTCTCTCTATCGTGTCTATATAAAATGACACCCAAGTGCACGATATTAGATCTAGAATTTTAAATTAAGTATAATCATGTAAGACATGTTGTAATATACTTCAATAATTGAGTGTGGTGATTGAAGATATGTAAGACTTACGAGGAAAATGTTGATGCATTAAGCTTTCTAGATATCAAGGTGCGCCAAGTGGGAATCTCAATTTACACCAATAATGTTGACATTATCAATATCTTAATTAAATGTGGTCTAATTTTATTTCAAGTTAATTATTTGACAGAGGATGCAGAAGCAGAATCGTGTTAGTTTAGGGACAGAACCCTAAAACACAATAAAAGCATAAGAACAAAAAGAAAGGGACGAAATTTATGACAAAAATAAAGAAAAAAATGAAATAAACAATGGGATAATGATAAAGGATAAGATCCTCTAAAGCACTTGCCTCTAGGAATCTCAACCTTTGAAGATACCATAAGAGTTGATCATGCTCTTGATTACATCTATTTTTCACACGGGATGACACTACAAAGCAGTAAGGCTCAAAAGAGTTATAAACTTTAAATGAATAATTTCATTCAACTTCTCTTCCATTTACAAGAGGGAGCATGCCTAATATATATAGGTTCATAGAGAAAACTATTTCCTAAAATTAAAACCCTAATTTCCTAATACTAAAAGGAGAAAAAAAATAATATAAAATAAAGGAGAAAATATTCAGCCACATAATTTAGGAGATGTGATCCTAAAATTATGGGATTACAAAACTTAAAAATTAAAAATAATATAATTAATCTTAATCTTTAACTAGACTTAAAATATAAAACTATGACTAGTCTTGCTCCTTAAGAAAGGAAGTTAAGTCAAATGACTACTAAAATAGGAAACAATTAAGGAGACAATCAAGGAATCATAAAGGACTCAAAATCACGTCATTCTTAACTTTTTCACTAGGGTTTCATGCCTCCTTACTTGTAAGAGGCTCCACTTGTAGTCTTCCTTGCATTGGCCTAGGGTTTGCACCACTTGTAGTCTTCTTTGCATTTGGATCTTAAGCACATTATACATGGCTAGATGCTCTCTTTTGGGCTTGAGAAGAGTGCTCCAATGCTCTCCAAGCTCTTGGACTTCTTGCACAAGACTAAACATGTAATGACCTTAAGTTAAAAAAAAAATCCTCCTAATTTATATTTAATTTAAATTAATATTATGGAAGATAGAGAGGGGTGGATTAGTGAAATTTATGCTAATAGCTTACTTAAAGGTCTAACATTTAAAATTATTTTAAAATAGATTAATTTCACTTAGTTTAAGATTTTAGAAAAAATTACCAAAATGTCCATGTCTTTTATGTTATTAGGAGAAACTTTGGGCCCTTTTTTGTAATTTTTGCAATTTCATAAAAGTCAGATTTATATTCTCTTCCGGTCAGCAAACATGCACCGCCTTATTCATTTTCCCTTCTCCTTCAGTGTTTTCGAAAACTCCAGAACCACCGAGAGTCATTTTGTTCATTCTCTACTCATCTCCTCCTCACCGTTGTCCTTTAATTCTTCCCTCACCGTTGCTGAGCTTGCTTGTTTCTTCTCCGTTGAGGATCTGCCATGAAACGGCACTGCTTCTGGTTTCCCCTGTCTCTGGTTGCTGCCGATTTTTGATCACTGTTGATGAAGTGTGCTTAGTCTTTGCATCTTATTCCTCCTTAGCTGCTGCTGTGTTCAGATCACCGTGAATCTGCCACTGTCGAGGCCGAACTCATAAATTTGTCTGCTCCTCTGTTCATCTACTGGTCTTCTCTTCATGCGACGGTGATGCCTGAATCTTTCTTCTCCTCTATTAATGTGCTGCCATGGGATCGCCTCCCATCTGTGCTTTGTGTGGATGTTCCAAGATCTTCTTCTCCCTCCTTCGCTCTGCGTCCTACTTTCTCCATTTTTGCTTGACTAGAACCTTTTCTTGTTCTGCTCTGTCGTGATCACACGTGAGTTAGGGAGGTTCAACTTCTTCTCTTCATTTCTTTACTGCCTTGGTGGTAAGTCAAGATGCATCTTTCTTCTATTTTGTGCGTGCATTTGTGTGATGTGGCTGAAAATGAGTTTTTATTGTCTTCCCTTAAATTGCAACTGTTATGCATGTTAGAAGGATAATCAAATTAAGCTTGAGTTTAAGAACATGATTTTTGACTGATATTCCAATTATTATTATTATTATTATTATTATTATTATTATTATTATTATTATTGGTTAAAGAATTGAAATTGGGTTGGCTGATTGAATTCAATATCAATTTTGTGATTGGTAGGAAATGAGATATAAGGGGACGAGGTTTGGTGTTAATCTGAGAATTAATGGATGATAAGTGTTTGATAAAATGCCTCTAGGAGAGTTTTGCTTGAATATCTTAGATTTATAAAATTTGATTAGTTATTGTGATAGATACATTTAGTTTGATTGTTATTGATCCATGAATTTAACTTGTTGGTTACAAATTGAAGAAATTTAATTATTATGAATTTGTATGTGACTTTAAATTCTTGGGGATAGAATGGTTATTAATAAAGTGTTGGATAAAATATGATAGGTTAGAAAATTTTAATTGTATGGTTGGAAACAATGTACCGAAGAGAAGATGTTATCTCAAGTAAATAGGTTGTTATGGCTAAAGTATTATTGGGATATTATCTAAGCTCTGGAATTATTGAGAATTATAAGGTTGAAGAGTGTACAAGGTATATTATCAATTTGGAAGACATACTTGGGGTGTTTGGAAACGGTTAGTCAAGAGAATTAAAGGTTATATGTTTATTCAATGGTTTAGAATGTCGTACATTAGATGCTTGGTAAAAAATCTAAGGAAAAACTTTTACGTATAAATTTTATTGCTAAAAATTTCAAAGTTATTTTTATTTTGTTTTGTTGAATGGATTCCCTTTAAAGAGATTTGTTAATTCAAAAGTAAAGTTTATTAAAATCTTATTACACTTTATAGGGTAATTGTAAGGAGGGTAGCTTGATTGGAGTTGTAAGAAATGAATTTTGAGTTTTGAAGATTCTACAGGTAAGTGGATAGCGTCTCAACTGATATTTTATTAAAATCTCTTTTATTCGAATATTACTTTTTTATGCAAATTATTTTTACGACAACAATGTGATTATGAGACATTTTGTTGATTAAATTACTTTATTTCGTGAAATTATTTTACCAGAATTGATCATTTTGGTTAATCAGTAAATAGAAGTTTGAATTCTAATTGTGGGATTTTATTTTTCTGGAAATTATTTTTATAGCATTAATGCAATTATTGAATATTTGTTGATTAACATTACTTTATTTTGATAAATTAGCTTTACCAAATTTAAAATGTTATTTGATCAATTAAATTAAGTTTGAACTTTGATTATGAGATTTTTATTCTAGCAAATATTGGAGAGATACAGAAAATGATTTATGCAAGTTTGAAGTTGAAATTTTTTTTATTCAATAAATGCAAGCACGAGCATTGGATATGAAATTTGATTCTAAAAAGTTTTAATGCTTAAAAGTATTCATGTGAGTTTGATTTTGAAAATGAGAACTGTATCTTGAAAGTGATGATTTTCTCGCATGTTTGAAAATGGTTTTAAAAAGGGACTTTGTACAGAACACTAGTTGCTAACGGCAATTCCGTTAGCCCTTGGCGCGCCATAGTACACCTAGCTAGGAGGGTGTTTATAGGAGGTGCTAGCCCCGTGCGATGGCCAACGCACGTGGAACAGAGGGATGGCTATTCGTGAGCATCGTACTCACGTTTGTTTTGTGGCTTCGGCCACGTTTGATTACTTACCCTCGTGGACTGTGTGTCCACATTTGTTTTCGTGGCATAAGTTGTGTTTGGTTAGTTACCCTCGTGGATTGTGTATCTACGTTTGTTAATTGTTCTGATAAGTCTCTATATTTATGAATCCAATCGTTTGATGATTTCATATTCTATTGGTTTTTATTTAGTAATTTATTTATAAATATTTATTTCATTTATGTGCTTTCCTGAAATCAAGTAATATTATCATTTTTTATAATAGTTCAATGATTTGAGATTTTATTTGAAATTTATAGAGCCATTTTATTATGAAGTTTATAAAATTTTTATGAAAATTTTGTCTATTTAACTTACATAACTATTTCAAACTTTTTACTTTATTTATGTTCTATTATTTATTGTTGGGACGTTATTCATTGGAAAAGATATTTTGGTTTCAGATGGTATAGTTGAATTCGTGACTCGAGATATCCACTGAGGAGTGTTATTGCTGAATTGAAGCTGAAGAATTATTTTTGTCAAATCCTAAATTGATGAAAAATTTGAACTTCATACCTACGTTGGTGTCTGGCCTTAGATGCTCCACGTAGACTACAGGTAGGATCCTTACATTTCTTTTAAAATTAAATATTTAATTTAATATTGTAATAATTTCTAACTACTCTATTAGGTGTTTAACATATTGATTTCAGAGTTTCTCTAATCATGGCTTAAGGGATATGAGTTTTGTGCTTATATCCCGTGCCGGTCACACCTAATTTTTGGGGTGTGACAAAACAAGACTTGCTTTATGACTTTAGTTCAGGCTCTCATCATTGGATCTCCAATATGTTGTAAAGGGTCTTTAGGTATGTTGGATTAGAAGTGTTGGGCTCCTTGCTCCTTGCCTTAGGCTCCTTTCATGCTACTATGCTTATGATTACCATCCTCAAGTTTCATAGCCATTAATACCATGTCATCCGTGCCTTGGGGTCTATTGTTATTACTCCCTTCTATCCTTTTTTATTAGATATTCTAAAAGATTCCTTCCTCCTAGGTAAAATATGTGACACTTTTAATTATTTCACAAGAATTATGAGAAATGACAAGACAAATATAGACCTAGTGCACTACGTCATCCATAGTCCATCCAGTAGGGTTGTACCAATTCAATCAAATAAAATTTTAAGCGTCATTATTTTTAATGATTTTTATTTTTGTAATAGAATATATATTTAATTTCTTTCAATTTCTCTCTACCATTATTAATGTCATAATCAATTTATATTTAATGCAATTTAAATGTCATGTTTTTACTGGATGGACTATGGATAATGTGGTGCACCGGATTTATCTAAGAATTTCTCGGAGGACATAATTTGTTGTCTCATTAAGATGGTAAAAAATTATCATTACTTTTTAGGATTACCCTTTAATTAAAATCCATATATCTTAATGAGAAGTTTTTAGATGGACCCAATATGTCATGTCATCCATGGCTCATCTAATAAAAACATGACACTCAAATGGTACTAAATATAGATTGATTTTAATATTAATGATAGTAGAGGGAGAAAGTGTAAGAAATTAAATAAACATTCTATTATAAAAATAAAATTATTAAAAATAATGACACATAAGATTTTATTTGATTCTATTTGTACAATTTTATTAGATGAACCATGGATGATTTGGTGCACTGGGCCCATCTAATTAAAACTTTCTCCTATCTTGATTGTCTTTAATTTCTTTCTTAAGGACATTAGTGAAAAAGAAGAATTTACTGTTATTTACTTTCTACGAAGTGTTTTACATTTTTGATCAATACTAGCTAATGGAAACTCTAAGAGAGAATATGGAGGAAACTCTTTCATTATACAACAACAATGACTACAAAACAACACATCATTTTCTTCACTTGATGAATTATGAATCTAATCAACCCTTAACTTGGGTGATGAACAAACCCCAAATGATGGGGGACTAATCATGCAGTGAGGACCATGCTAACATCCCTCCTTTCTAATTGAAAGTTGTGCCCTTTATATACACATTAGGGTTATTAACTATCAAGTGATTAGCACTTAATCATTTCTAATGTTCCAACAGTTATGTACTAACTACCTAATAGAAATTTGATAAAAAAATAGATATAAATTAAAACCAAGAAGATTGTTTTGCACATACCTTGTAGGATGTAATTTAAAGAGAATTTTTATACCTTATAAAAGGGTATTCATGAAAAAGGATAGGATTGCCGGATAATCCCAATCTGTTTCCTGTCCCCAAAAAAGAATGGGACATCATTTTTATCTAGTGCCCCATCCTGTCCTAAAAATTGTCTTGTCCTGTTGGAGATTTGAACAAGATGGACCAAAAAAAAAAAAAACTAATGAAGGCTGATGCGTCAAGCTTTCTAGATATCAAGGTAACAAGGTGATGGTGCACCACGTAGGAACTCAACTTGCACCAATAATGATGATATTAATAATATCTTAATTAAAGGTGGTCCAATTTTATATATTTCACCTTAATTTTTAATTATTAAAATATTAAATAAAATTTAAAATATCAAGCCAAATATTTCATATTAATTATTGGAGTAAAATACTCTCACCACCCTTCTATTTTACATTAATTACACAAACCTTCCCTCTATTTTGAAAACATACAATTTGGTCCAATACGTTAACTTTGTTATGAATATTTTAAAAAGATTCTAAAAACTTATTTTTAAATTAAAATTTCTAGTAAAAAAATTATTTACTAATTTACCCCTTACCTTAAGAAATCCTAAATTGTATTAGTTTGATAGTTACATAATTTCATTGTAAAAAACATGTTTACAAATTTTAAATTTTAAATTTGAATTATTTATATAATCTCTCAAACTCATATCATTTTACATTATGTGATAAACAAAAATATGTGTTGGAAATATGTTTTTAGCAATTTAAAATAAATAAATAAATAAGTTTCAATAATCTTGATAAAAATTAAAATTTTATAATATGATAAATATTTCAAAATGTATTTATTATATATTTATTTGTATACAAAAATACATTTTTTGGCAAATCTATTCTTATGTTAAAGAGAAATTTTGGTTAAATTAAAAATTTAAAAGTTAAACTTGATGATTAACTAATGTTGGATAAGTGAAAATTAAGTCTCAAATATATAAGGGAGGTTTATGTAATATATATTTTAATTTTAAGGGAGTTGATATGAGTTTTTAAAATAGAGGGGAGGTTTGTATAATTAAAGCATAATAGAAAGGTGGTTACGGATAACTTTTTTAAAAAGAATCGCAAGTATCACGTTGCTTTATAGAAAAAGATTCCCCAAGACTGATAAGATCGTGATGTGGCTTAAGTTAGTGTAGTGATCAATTGATGAGGTTCTGAGATCACTCGCTAAGATTAATTACTATTTTTTAGATACAAAAAGATCTTCTTGTATGATCACATGGCCTCCGAAACTGTTCAAAAAGGAGAAAAAAGAAAAAGGCCTCCCACGAAGGTTCAAGGAGGCCATGTGATCATACTTAAAAGCTATAAATAATTTTTTAAACTTTAAATTTTCAATGAGGAGGAGTTAATTTTTCTAATTAACTTTCTGAACTTTCACCAATGTAAAAATTCTTAACTAAACCGGTTAAAATTAGTCATTTAAACCGGTTGTAAAATTAGTTTAAATAAGTGATGGATATACAATCAATTTAAAAAAAGAACATTCTAAGATAATAGTTAAATAAAAAAATTTAAATTTTTTTTACATTTTAAAAATACACTTCTAAATTGGTTATGACATCATAACCAGTTTAGATATCATCAATATCTAAACCAATTATGATCACAACTTGTTTATATCTAAACCAGTTGTGGTCATAACCGATTTAGCAACATTGTTTTATTAAACAAAACATTTGGCTTTTTCACTTAACCCAACCATGATAGGATGCAAACTTGTAAATTAAAAGCAATATATACATCCAACCATCAGAATATTAAGACACACACATTGAAACACTACGATAGAAATAGCACAAATCACATAACATCAAAAATAGCTATTGATGCAAGACAACTGAACAATAGCTCACAATAATTTGAAATTCCACAGTGTGTTATCTAATAGAGAACAAGACTAATCAAAATAGCCTCATAATTGAAAAATTCAATTCACAAATTCAAATCAAAGTATGAAAAATGTAAATGACTTAATTGTTTAAATAGACTTTTAAAAATATAAATGATGCAATCTTAGTTTATCTAGGATTTCAAATGGATATATTATATCCTTATTTAAACTAAAACAAAATAAACTAATTTTCCTAAACTTCAATTTAAAATAAAAAGAAGATGAATTGATTTTCTAAATTTAAGAAGAAAATAATAACTAAACTAATTGAATTTATGAGCCTAAGTGTCTTGGGTTAGGTCCAATATGCTAAGAATCTTTGATCTTCTATAACTTTATTTGCCTTTAAGACTTCTTGATCATTTAGAATATCTCTAATTAATGAATTTAAGGCTTCTTTCATCCTCTTCACTTTGGATTTAGTCATTAATCCTTCAATTCCTTGTAATGGATCAAAGGTACTAAATGTTGAATTTTAACTCATCCATTGATTCCTATCATTCCCTCCCTCCTGAAGGATACGTCCTAGAATCACATGCATTAAATAAAGAAATGTCTACAACATTGAATGTAGCTGACATATTCTCATAAGAGCTAGGGATGTCTATCTTGTAGGTATTGTCATAATTCATTCTAGCACTTGAAAAGATCCATCACCTTTTGGATGCAACTTTGTCTTCCTCATATTTGGAAATCTTCCAAGCCTGAGATGTATCCAAATCCAATCTCCAAGTTCGAAGATAACTTTCCTACACCCTTTGTTAGCTTGCTTTGAATATTGGTCATTTTTCCCTTTCAATTGAAGCCTTCACCTCAAAAAGAGAATAAGACATAGAATATGCATTTGGGCTTAAAGTAAGATTATGACCCAATTTGTCACCTCTAAGTGTATACTTGTGTATTGGGCCTTTAATATGGTGATTTGGACTCCCAACATATATTATAACCTCTTGATTATGAATATCTTTACTTGGGCTTTCCTATGCTTGAATGACATGACTTCGGGTAACTAGGTGACCTGGGATACCACTTAGGACTTTGCTGCCACATATACTGTCATTTAAGACTTGATTGCCAAATAAGTTGCATCTTGGATGTCAACTGTCTTCACATAGGATCACATCTATCAAGTGGATAAATTCACACTGTAGTGTTATGCTACATCAAATTTTGCCGCATAAGAACTATCATTGGTAAGCATAATAAATCTCAAAAGACGTTCGTCCTTTTCAGACGATAGGCACTACAGAATATATAGATGCTCTCAAGTTTCTACGTTATATAAGATATCAAGTTAGTAAAATTTCAGTTAGGTATTCGTATAGAATTTGTACCTAGGTCAGAGGCTATAAGAAACCAATAACAGCGGATCTGCTCGATATTGGCATTATTCAAAGCAAAAAAAGTAAAAAGGATAATGGGAATTTTTTAGAGAGAATTTCGTGAGACCCCCAAGGAACATAATTTCTTTGTAGGCACAATAGATTTTAATATTTCTCTGTAGGTTCAAAGATCTTAAGTGCAATTATTTTTGAAGGCAAAAAGATCGAACTACTCTTAATGAGTGAGAATAAATGTTTCGTTTAAATCAAGATCCAACACTTGGCCCTCCAAAACTTCATTGATCATAGAGCAGATAGATGTGCTCCTTCCGTTTCTATTTATAACAGAAAAAAATTATATCACACATTTAAGAAAGTTGGTTAACTATAATAATTATGTTTGAAAATAAAAAAAGTGGACTAAAATGCCCTGTGTTAATCAACATGACCATATATTAATTGTTTTTTGTTAATGTAAATTATGAGAAGTGATTTAAAAAATGTGTAATAAATGCTTCTTGGAGTGGGTGATTTTTGCTTATAAAAAAATACAAGTTAAAAGTGATATTTTTTTGACAATAAAAAACAGAGTACTTATTGTTTCCCAATGATACTAGGAGAAAGCAGCATGGAACACATCAATGCTTGGGGCCATAAGAGGTTTCATATAAAAAAGAACACGACAGACTTCATTGAATATAATGCAAGTCCCCAGACTACTCATAGAATTATTGGGCATAGTCAGGAAGGCTCACCTCCCAACATACGGAGGAACAATATCAGTTTCCCGTGAATAAAGATTCTTAAAAAAAATCCAATGCCCAAGTACTCAAACTCTTCACTAAAACACCATTATTCACTATCCTCACCTTTAAGCGTCAGCACCCTTTTCCTTCTAGATTTCCTCATAACCTTTCACTGATAATAGGCTGCATTGTGATCCCCAAAGTTTAACGTATCGCATCTCGCTTGCTGTGCCCATAAACTATTCTTCTGTTCCTAAATCATTTCAAACTCCTTTAATTAGTACTACCTCAAGTCTCGGAAGGTAATTAGAATGTAATATTCATAATTCATTATGTAATTATAACCTTATATAAGTAGGCATAATTAATTTCATGGAGGCTTGATATATCAAATGTTAAACAAGAAATTTGACTTATAAATTATGAATTTTTACTTGTACATTATCAAGTTGCATTTGTAAATAAAAACCAAATTAAGAGGGATAGCATTGTCTTTAAATTATATTTAGGTTTCAAGGAACTTTGCTGAAGCTTCTAAATTTCGTGGAACATATTTTATTATTTGTAAATACGTATGTTATACAACATCAAGGAACTTTGCTGTAATTTCTGAATAAATTTGCTCACTGGCTGAAAAAAAAAATCTTGTGCCAAAAAAATATTAACCAAATTTTTGAAAATTTGAGAGAGTGGGTGATTTACATTGATACATAATAAGTTTATTATTGACAATTTGAAAATTTACTAAGGGTTTATAATTGATATAACAACGTTATATCATTGATAAATATAATAAATTGATTATAATATAATGTATAATAAATGTTGGATTGTTTGCTTAGTTTGATCGACCTATAATATGAGCTATATCTAGAAAAGCCCCTACTTTTTGCTAGTTTTTTTCCTCAAAATATTTGACTAGTCCTTCTTTCTAATTTTCTCTAAGAAAACAAATTAAAAACAAAATAGTAGAACATCACGTGACAGACAATTTTTACTATGCCACATGATGGTCTCGCACTTATGGGCAGTAATGGAAGTACATGATTTTTAAAATAAAATCGCATTTAATAAAAAAAAAATACTTTGCGTATTGTAGCCCCATGATTTGAAAGAAACAGAAAAGTCAGAACTCCACAAATCACATGACGCTCCGATATTGATAATTAAGCAACAATTTTGATGCTTTCGTCTGAAACATTATATATAACCCATGGATATCTCCATGAATCTAATTTCTTACCTCCTTAACAATAATAGAACCATGTCCGAAGAACAATCTAAAGCCTCTGGTCTTGCAGACGTTATTCCCAAGTTCTGGGATGAAGACGATGAAGCTCTATCCCAAGAGTGTCGAGATCTCATTGCAACCCTACCCACTGAACCATATTGGAAGCTCTATCGGCTCTACTAATTTCAAGGCTTTTGGCACAACAAAAGGGTCATACAAGGAGTCCTCAACTTGCAGAAACACTTTCAGGCCCATGACTCCGACGTCATCCTCGTCACTGTGCCAAAATCTGGCACCACCTTGCTCAAAGCCCTCACTTACTCTATCCTTCATCGCAAGACCCATTATCCGAACCCGAATCTAAACCCGACCCACTCTCTTCTCACTACCAACCCTCATGATCTTGTGCCCTTCTTGGTGCTCCGTCTCTACATCGAGAACAACCTGGATCGGAGCTCGTTCTCGTCGCTGAGGCTTTTTGCAGCCCATCTGCCATACTTCCCATTGCCGGAGTCCGTAAAGCCATCGAGATGTAAGATAGTGTACTTGTGTAGAAACCCTAAGGACGTACTTGTCTCGTACTGGCACTTTACAAGTTCGTTCATCAAAACAGAAAGCCAAGCAGCGAGCAACGTGGTTGATGAGGATTTTTTTGAGAAGTTTTGCCAGGGAAAGAACCCTTTCGGGCCGTTTTGGGATCACATATTGGGTTACTACAAGGAGAGTTTGAAGAGACCAGAGAAGGTAATGTTTTTGAGGTTTGAGGATCTAAAGGGTGAGCCGGTTAGGGTTTTGAAGGAGCTAGCTGAGTTTATAGGGTACGGTTTTTCTAAAGAAGAAGAAAATGATGATGTTGTGGGTGACATATTGAGGCTATGTAGTTTTGAAAATTTGAGCAATTTGGATGTGAATAAAAGTGGAAAAGTGTCCTTCGGGGTGGAAAGTAAGAGTTTTTTCAGACGTGGAGAAATTGGAGATTCCAAGAATTTTCTCACACCTGACATGATCAAACGACTTGATGATATTACTGAAGAGAAGTTGGGAATACATGGCTTGAAGTTTTAAATCCATGAATTAGATTCTTTAGAACATCTGGTATACAAAGAACAACAGGTTTGAGTAACAATTTCTGTGTGTTTTATTATTACATTGAATTTAAATATTAAATATTTTTAAATCAAATTAGAAATTAATTAAGTGTAAGCAAGGTACCTTAATTTATATACTTCCTTTCCTCATCACAAGTCTCTTCTGAAACCAGGTTTATGGTGAATTTTATTCTTAAATTCGTTGATCAAGTATAACGAGAACTTCGAAAAGTCTCTTTTGATAATTGAAGTATTAGCTAAATTTATATGTTAATCTTTTCTTCACCAGGTGTTAGAAGTAAAGACGTAGAAGAAGCAGCTGACAATATAATTAAACTTGTAATCTCCTTAGAGATAGAGTGTTTCTCATGATGTATAGCTTTGAGCGTCGATCAAAATTTAAAAGATTTAGAACACTCCTATGGATGGGGCTGTTCAAACGTTGGGTGTGTGTTTGAAGCTTTTTAACTAGGAAAAAAAATTAGTTTGATTTGCTGTTGTCATATGTAAATAAGTATATATATATATATATATATGATGCCTAGAAAAATCATACCAATAATTTTCTCTTTTATACAAATTACTGATATTGTTGGATTTCTAATACTTGTCACTCTTGTTACTTTCCACGTTCTTTTTTTGTTGTCATCAATATGCTGTCAGATTTTTTTTTTCCTGGGTTAAAGACTTAATTTATCTTTAATTTTTTTTTTAGAAGCGCGGCACCTATAGTGAAGGGTGGAGGAATTTTCTAAATAATTTTTTTAAGGAACAATATTGTTTCTTTATTAAATATTTTATCTAAAATTACCCAAAAAATTACATAAAAATACCTTATAAAAAAATTAATACTGACTGAGTTCCTAAAATTACAAATAAATACTAATAGAATAATATTATTTCTTATTCATATAAAATATAGAAATATTATTTTAACTAATTACTTTGACCCACCATCGGGTGATTATTGAATCACTAATGCTGAAAATATTGGTAAGTAATTAAAAATTATTATATTTGTTTTAATAAAACTTTGTTGAAATATTTAAATATTTGATAATTTAAATATTATTATTTATAAATATTAGTTAAAAATTTATAAAGCATCTTTTAAATAGTAACGGCTCAACTAATTTTTCAAAAATTTATAGGTGATTTAGTTTGCAAATTAAAATAGTATAATAAATTATAAGTCTTCTTTTAAATTTAACAAGTCATCCGTCATAAATTGTGTGCAAAAATTTGTAAATAATAATAAGATTAATTATAAAAAATTAAAGTATTAATGTTTTAGTGAGATATTATTTAAAAATTAATATTTTTACTTACTTATTCATATTTTTGCTAGTAATGGTGATATGATAATCACCTCATAGCGGGTCAAAATAATATTTTGGTCTTTTATATAGGTAAGAAATAACATTAATTTATTAAAATTATTTCTAATTTTAGAGACTTAATCAGTATTAATTTTCTTATAAAGATCCTTTTATGTAGTTTTCTATGTCCTTTTCTTTTGTTATCTAGGTTATTTTCTATAATATTTTGAGTCAACTAACAGTTAAATTTTTATAAGTCCTTTTATGTAGACTTTAAGACATAAATCAAATTAATGGATATTTTTATTTACCAATATTGCTCTTTGAAAAATTATTTAGGGGGATATTGCCCCACTCTTTATTATAGAATATCTAGTGCTTCTTAAAAAAATATTTATTGGTAAATATTAGGTTTTTAAAATTTTTAAAAGTGCTGTTAGAGATTTGATTATCTAAGAAATTTTTATGTCAAGGCCATGTTAACCAATTATGCAGCTTGGAAGCTATATTGGTGACATTGATGTGACCTAGCACCAACTAATAAACAAAGACTCCATAGGATGACTAGAAGTTAAATACACTACTATCGATCCGACCAATTCTGATCAAAAGCAAAATTCAGACTATCCAAAATACATTGGGTAATCAATTTATAAAAATTATAAAAAAATTAATATTAAATTAGATTATCCAGATTAAATCTGTACTATCCAAATTAATATTAAGATAGATTTATTAAATTTTTAAATTTTTTTAGAATAAATATAAAATATAAAAATAAAAATAAAACCTAAAAATCTGGACCGGATGAATGAAGCCAAACACTTACAAATTCACACCACTTGCCAGAAAGAAAATCTGAATGAAAAATCTTTGTGATAGTATTTTAAGAAAACGGTGGAGTTTTTGAAACGAATATAATATTTGAAAATCATGTGTGAAGCCTTTCAAAATATAAATTATTCTAGGAAAGTTTTTTTTCATTCATTGTTAGAAAAATATAATTTTGATATCCTTACAAATTTTCTTGGTTTTTTATTACGCACAAGTGTGTTTTTATTAAAGACGATCTTATACAATATTCATGTTTGCATTGATAATTTTCATTGGCTCTCTCGACTTCCTTCCCTCACATGTCTTGATCTCAGTGGCATTCACCTTCCTATTGAAACAAATTGGGTTCAGTCATTGGCTTTGTTACCTCTGAAGAGCTTATATATATTTTGAATAATTGTAATTTGAAAAGCTCTATTCTATCTCTGGAATATGCCAATTTTAGCTCACTTTCACGTCTAGATTTTCAGGCTATCAAAATATATGTATATATATATATATAAGAATCTAATTTTACCTTCATTAATTGTAATGATGTATAAAGAATAAATTACAAAATCTTATTTTACAATCACCACAGTATTTTTTTTTCTTTAGGTAATAGTGTTGATTGTCACAGTACTAAAAGTATTGCCTAGTATGTAAGTATAAGTAACTATTTTTGTATGTTGTTGCTATTGATAATTACGTTAAGCATCCTGTTAGAATGGTTTTTGGCTGTTGCCATGGATAAAAAAACATGTTGTAGTGAATTTACTGAGATCACTATTAATTAAGAGTAGGGACAAAATGAGAGATCATTATATATTCTAACGTCATATCTTATAATTGGGAGCACAAAAAAATCTAAAAAACACGAGCGGGTAAAAAACAAACAAACAAACATACAAACAATTGTATCTGAGAGGTTGAAAAAGGCCTCTAATCAAAACCCAGCTTCCCTCATTGGTTCCGGCCTTTTGACTAAATTGCACCTTGTGGTCCCCATTCCATTTAGTTTTGCATTTGTTTTTTGAATTTTAAGGGCAGAGGGTCTTTGGTAATTTTGCATTTGTTGAAAATGTACCCCTTATCTTGCCACATTATATTGTTTTATTCCTCAAATAAAAAATTATATTAATATATTCATCTTGAGAATTTAAATATTTTCTAAGCCTTAAAAAAAAACAGAGAGAGACTAGATATTTTTCAAATTGGCCAGCAATCTGGCTTGCAATTTTTTATATGTTCTTGTGCCGTGCTCGCGCAAATTATGAAAGTCACAAAATATTTTGATATATTTTTATCAATAAGTATAGTGTTAGGTGTTATAATCAATTAGGATAAGTTGGGGTGGTTAGGGTTGTGAGATATACATTGGATGAGTGAGCTAGCGATGCATGTGTATGCCCCTTCCCTGTAGCTAGAAATAGCATTTAAAAAAAAAAAAAAGTTGCACCTACTTCAGTGATCTTCCCATCTTATTAATTATATATTTCAACCTATTTGGAACAATTAAAATAATCTCGTAGGAAGCTATTTGTTTTAAAAATATGATTCCTCTTTTTAGTTTTTCATTAGACAATTTTTTCAAATGCTTTAATAAATATTTCATATAATATCTTATTATAACAAGATAAAAAAAATTAAGGAAAATGATAAATAAGGATCTCAAAAAATATTAATGTCAAGTTAGAATCTCTTTGCAATTAAAGTTTGAGAAATTTTTCGGTAAATTGGGTGTGCTATGTCATCTATATTCTGTCCAATTAGAATGTCCCAAGTCATCTAAATAAAATTTTATGTCATATTATTTTAATTGGTTTTATTCTCATAGAAAAATACGTATTTAATTTTTTTCCTTTTTTTAATACTCACTCTTCTATATTTCAATACTAAAATCTTTAAATAATCTTTATTTGATGTTAATTTTTTTAAAGTCCTTACTTGTCATTCTCCCATTCCGTCTGAGTATCATATATGGGGGACTAAATATATTAAATAATAAATAAGATCATTCACTAATTGAATCCTCTCCTGCATTATCTTTTCTTTCCTTTTTCTTCTTCTCATCAAATTCTCATCTTGGATTAAAAATTCAAAGGTTGAGATTTAATAATTTATAAAATTATTATAACAACATTAATAAAAAATAAATAGATATAAATTGTTAAAATTTGATTTTGAAAGTTCACAACTATAAATTAATTGTAGACTATTTTTAAAATAAAAAATAAAATTGATTAAATCTCAATTATCGAATATTTAATCCAAGGGTGAGGATGGGATGAGGAGAAGAAAAGATGGAAAATGAGAGGATAAAGATCCAACTTAGCTTCGCTTTCCCCGTTCTTTTTCTTTAAAAAAAAACGGGGGAAATTAGAGAAAAGCACCATCCATCAGGTCCAAAAAATTGAAAAAAAAAGTCTCATCAAAACATTTCATCTGTCCTTTTTTTTTTGGTGTCAATATTTCCAGAAGCGAAAAGATAAAAATTCCTTTTAAATAACTTAATGATCATGTGTTGGAATTTTCATTAAAAAGTGTAGCATTTTATTTTGATAATTGTCATGTTTGGTTAAGTTTTAAAATTAAATGACAAGTTTTCAGGAAAAAAAAAAGTAATTAACGTGACAGCTTGATGCACCTAGCATTGTGTTTTCAAGAAAAATAATGTATCACTTTATTCTGAAATGTTAATTTTAAAAAGCGGATAACAAATTTTCAGGAAAAAATAATTAATTAACCCAAGAAGTTGATGCGCTTAACTTTGGTTTCTCTAGAAAAATATATCATTCTATTTTGAAAATTTTAGATGCTTGGTTAATTTTCAGAAAAGGATGACGACTTTTCAGAAAAAATTTCAATAATATTCGAGGGTCTCCAAACACTCTTCAATAGTCTGCATTATTCTTTTGTTGTCTTCAAAATTAATCTTCCACAATCTGCATGTACGTATCTGCAACTGCAACTTTCT